CTTCTCTTCTTCTCCTTTTCCTTTTCTTTTTTTTTTTTTTTTTTTTTTCTGTTGTAATTGTTGTTTGTTAACAGCGAAATAAATGTGGATGATTGAAGGATTGAATTGAAGGAGGAATATTTGAGTATAATGTTAGTTGATTTCTTGAAAGATTATTGAAGGGCTATTTCGGACTGTTAACGCCAACAAAATACGGCTCATTTACATTTATTGCCCTTTTCTGGTTGAAACGAATCGTCACCAAATATGTGATAGATTTGTCGATGTAGTCTGTCCTATTTCGTCCTTTCCCACTTTTCAAATCTATTCCTCCTCTTTTCGCCTATATTTTTATCCACCAATAGTAGCAAGAGATTGAAAGTTGTAATAAAGCACGAGTAACAGCAATGATAGCAGAAATTACCGTAACAATGTTCCAATTCTAAAAAACTTTTTAAATCACATCTTTTTTTCAAAAAAAAATCGTGTCATCGCTTAATTATGAAAATATTATTTGAAAAAGAAAAGAAGAAGAAAAAATATTTAAAAATGAAATAAATGTTTGGTTAATTTTTTAGTAACTATCTTTAAGCATTTACAACACAATTTGATTATTGTTGTAGAAAAAAAAAAAAGTGTTAGTGTTATTATTCTGATAAGCATTCATAACATAATTTTATTGTGCTAATCAATAATTGAAAGAAAAAGAAAATTTTTTTGTGAAATTTTAAAAATGTATAATCAAATATGTAAATGTCTTAGCATTTAAATGAGAAGTGTAATGGAAAAAAAAAACAACAGGAAAAGTTTTGTCAAAATGTTAAAATGATGCAAATTATGGAAAATTTAATTACGACTTAACAAAATATGCGGTTAAATTAATAAAGCTTAATGTTTGTTAGAAATTTATTTATGGAAAATTTTACAAAACAAAAAAAGGGTAGATGAAAAAAAAAGGATGATTTTTGTAACTATCATTTTTAACCTCAAAGATTTACTTCGATCTTTATCAAAATTATAGCATTCATATCATAAGTTAGTTTTTTTTTTTTTTCTTCCTAATAATATAATGAATAATTATGATCAGTTAGTTGTTTTGAACAATAACATCTGTTAGTTAAATTTACAAGAATAAATCTATTAAGCATATTAGGATGGATGAGGAATGAAAATGCAATAAGTAAAATCCTATGATTACTTAGCAAATGTATAATAGTTATTTATATGGAAGATAAACTAAAATATCATCCTGATCGTTCGTGTTAAATTTAAATGAAAGCAAATGAACTGATGCATGGCAGTGAAAAGCATTGAAATAAACTCTCCTCCCTCTCTTTCGTTTTCTCTTTCCCTCCCCTTTTCTCTTTTTTCTACCTCATAGGTATTTCTAAAAAGTTTGAAAAATGCAAAAGTTTATCTTCGCCAATTTCTTACGATCAATTGAACAATTGAGCTTAAGTAATGACTGATACATTGAGTTGAAAATCGCAACATCTGCTACCAATTCCAATCCTTTTTATTATTGATATTTGTTAGATCAAATTACGGTAATTTGGCATAAATTTTAGACGTATACGATATCATTTTAACAAATTTATTTCAATCACTACGATTAATTATCTTTGTCCAATCCGAGATATAGTGGCACATTTCCTCATTAAAATTAGTCAAATTGTTACCATATAGCTATCCTTTTTTTGTTTCTTTTTTCAATTTATTTAATAAAATTTTTGCTAATTATAAAAATATGAAATATTGATAATTTTAAATGTAAACAAGCTAACGATAATAGAATTCCATGAGATAAAAATTGATAAATTAAATTTTGCAATCTAAAACTTTGGTTGCATGAGATATTGTAATTGTGATAACAGTGATTGATACCTGAAACCCAAAAAATGTTAAATTTCGAAGAATCCGAGAATAGAATATTTAACATTGAAAGCCAAGATATATGATAACAATCCATTGATTGATATTTGAAACATGAAAAAATGTTAAATTTTCAAAATTTCAAAGATAGAGTATTTATCGTTAAGAATAAAAGTTTAAAAAATTAAAAAGTATAACCAAGAAGTGGAAAAAACTTCAGCTAAATGGTGAAAAAAAAGGAAAAACGAATTTTACGACAATTTTTGAGTTTAACTTCGAAAAATGAAATAAATAAGTGTTGATATGACTTGAATATTTGTTCCTAACACTTCGATTGGTTATGTAAATTTTTTTTCAAGGAATAAGTGGAAATTTCATTTGTTTAACTTTATAAAATTAAGATGTTAAAATATATTCTCAAAAAGCAAATTTCAATTATAATTTGTAGAAAAAAATTATGATCAGTTTCAATTTGGTTACAAAACGAAGGAAGGAAACAAAAAAAAAAAAGACAATTAACTTATGATAAATGATATTTGTAATGAAGTATGTATATCAGTTGAAATGGAAATGAAAATAGAAATGGAAATGAAAATGAATTGACATATATGGAAGTAACTGTGGAAGAAGAATGAAAATTGTTTGGGATAAATATTTTTTAGCTGAAAAAGTTGCTTTTTTTTTGACTGATAAGAAATTATATAATTGAAAGAATTTAATGTGACACACAATATCTTATCAAATCATAATTTTAACAGCAATCGCATTTCAACCTATCTAAAACAATATTCATTTAATAATTTGAAATTTTACTAATTGAATCGAATTCAAATCTAACAACTACATAAAAAGAAGTGGTGATGAAATAAACAAATTGATTTGATAAAAATATTCTTTTATGAGATGAATTCAGCTGAAAACACAGTAATGAAACTTAAAAAAAAGAAAAAAAAAGAGAAAACGAACTTTTATAACTTCTAAATGTTAATTCATAAATTTATACATTTTAAAATAAAAAATATATTCATTCTAATAATGATAAAAGTATATGTAAAGTTTTTATCCATAAATTCAAACAAATAATATTTCAACTTCTTTTTTTTTATCGTTTTTTTTTCAATTAACGAAATTTATCATTTAATTATTCCTAAATATTTCTTTTTTTTTCTTGTTTATTTTTTTTTTTTTTTAAACTTGAATCATTCATCCACTCATTTTGCTACAATTATTCATATCACAAAAACCTATCCTATCGTATCCTAAGAACATTTTATTGACAATACTAATCATGAAACCGCCTCATCTTCAATTGTCAAAACATACAGGTGGATGTGTGTGTGTGTGTGCATCTCTGTCTGTGCCTGTCTGTGTGTGTGTGTGCGTGTGTGTGTGTGTGTCTGTACAGGGTCTCCATTTCAATGTCCTGCTTTATTCATATAAATCTTTATGGCTATGTCGTAAAAATCGCATAAAATTGGTTCGTCCTCTCTAGCAAACACCCTTTTTCTCCTCTTAAATCGCTTACCGGAAAAGATTGTCATTTCCACTGAATCAGATGGGTGCAATCACAATAATGTCATACTTGGGCGAATAACGACTTCGAAATAGTCGAGGTCGAGCAATGAAGAAGAGAGAGAAAAATGAGATGTGAATAAAAAAAAAAAAAANAAAAAAAGGGAAAAGGTAAGAAAGCGGTAGAAATGGGGCTAAGCAAGGGGGTAGGAACAAAAAGAAAACGGAAGAGATGAAATAAAACAGGAAAACTTCTTCCTTCTAACTGGAATCTTTTCTTCTTT